GGGGGGGGGGGGACCCACCCACGTGCCCTTCGATTTCAATAAGAAAAGTTGAAGCGTATTGTCAGGGAAGGCAGGGAGAAGATCAAGATCATGTGGCTTAGAAAGAAGATTAAGAATGATAGGACGTGTGACCGCCTGGAAGGGTGGGATAAGGGAGGGTGGGAGGGAAGGAGACGCAAGAGGGAAGAGATATGGGAACATATGTGTATGTATAACTGATTCACTTTGTTATAAAGCAGAAACTAACACACCATTGTAAAGCAATTATACCCCAAAAAAGATGTTTAAAAAAAAAAAAAAGAATGATAGGATGGAAATATTCCAAGTAACGGCAAGGCACTTGGGATTCCTTGAATGTCCTGCCGTATTCAATAACGTATGGCCATGCACTGAAAGGAAAAGCTAGAGCCCATCTCACGCCTCACTTCTGCTACTGACTGAGGTTGAGAAAGAAAATTAAGACAACATTTTCAAGTTACTCAAAGGCAGAAATTGTAGCCTGGACATTTAAGGGAATTTAAGCTCATTAGGTGGGGTAAAAGACTTGTTTTGCAATTAGTCAGTGTCTTTACCCAATTAATTTAAAACGGGAAGCCCCGAATTTTCTTAAAGCTTTACTGGTATTAGTTTGTTAGAACTGACCGTTCTACTATATAAATTCTTTGTGTATGTTTACTTTCCCTCCTAGATTTATGGCCAAACTGTTCTCAAAAACAGAACAAACTTCTTATTATCTGCTTCTTTCATATTTAATATTCTATTTCCCTGAAGCCACAGAACTGATATTCTTCAACAGATGAAGTAAAGTGAATGCTGACAACCAGCACTCATGGTCCGGGGATGGGGAAACGAATAAGGATTTAAACCCCAAGGCAAACAGGGCACACTCACCATAAGGTTGAGATCACATTAAGGAAATCTATAGCACTTGAAACGAAATTTTGTAGTTACAGTTCTGATCAAGCTGAACCATCTTTTGGGACAGCCAATCATGAACAAGATTGCTGTATTTGGAATTCAGACAGCAAGAAAAGGCAGTCTCTTCTCAAATGGAAAATGACACTCAGCCAGCTCTATGTCCCATGGTGTAATCTCACATAAAGTACTTGAACAATTCTTATTTTTTTTTTCCAAAATGAAAAGTAGATCAACTTACATGGCTCTCTGGCAATGAACTGAGGTACAGTGTTGGGCAGAGGAGTACTAGGGTTTGGAGTCCCTACTAGTTTGTTCTTGGCCATCTTCGTGTTTGCCTTAGCAAACTCTAGTCGTAGTGTTTGTGGAATTTCAGGATCGAAGCGGATGCCCTTTGGAAATAAAGAACAAATGGAAGATGTTTTCATTTCCTTAGAGTCAAACCGGAATGGTGACAAAATAAACACACCAGTAAACCCGGCCTATCAGGAAAAAAAAGTTAGTAAGAGCTCTCATTCTCACTACTTACACAGAATACACGAAAACCCGTAACACAGCATGTCCACACAGTCAGGGAGATTTAGTCTACTGTATTAAAAATTGAGTTGCATGGTTTTTCATCTATTCCTTTTCTTTTTGGACTAAAACGTTCAGGTTCAAATTTTAAATCTGGACCAGCAAATGCCTAGCATAGTTAAAAACTAATTAATGGCTACCAAGAAGAATGAATTAATGTAAAGCCCTGTGTAATACTGGAAAAGTCTAACACCTGAAATCGTAAGAGGCAAGGCTTTGACCAGTGTTTAAAACAATGTTAATTCTTCAATGCCTCAGTTTCATCACCTCTAGAGGGGGAAAATTCCCGTCCCTTTCTAACTGGAGAGCTTTCATACTGGTGATACACGTACTCTGAGTTACTAAGTAGACAGGAACTAAACAGTTTTAAGATTTCAATATAACTAGTGTTACTTAATTCCAGTTAGCTTATAAATTCATATGAATGTCTTGAATGTGGTATGGTCCTGATTTTGGTTATAGCTGGCTTACTAGCTACATGGACAGACAGACCACAGATTATATGGGCCTAAGAGAGGGTAGTAATTTCAATTACCTTTAACCCTATTATTGCAGTTTACCTAAACCAAATATATTCAATAAAATAAGTCACAAACACTATAAAGTACAAGATTTAGGACAAGAAAAATCTATTCTGAAACCCTCCCACCATTTAAGAATGCCTCTACTACTGAGCATAATGAATAATCTCATGATATTTACGTCCAATGCTATGATTCTGGACCCCAACAATAGTATCAAAAATGCATAAACGTGCATTCAGAACAGGCTTAGGTACCATGTTTGTTTGTATGGCATGTTCTGAAAAAGGAGTGAAGTTCTGAAAATGAGTACCTTAAGAACACAGGTTCTCAGTTTAGCACCCACGTGGGCCTGGGCGCCCCAAAGCCCCTTTCTTCTTTTTATAAGCTTGAAGACAAGAGCAATTTCCACAAGAAATTAGTAAGAGTCTAACTCTGTAGACCAGGATGAACAACTCTGAACTTCTCAGGCTCAGCTCCAAAGACGGGAGGAAGAGCCTGTGACGTGACGGGAGCGGCAATAAGAGAAATAAGGGGGTTAGGGGGCGGGGAGCGGAAGGAAAGCGAGGCCCTCAGGGAGGCACAACTACAGCCACAGAGCCGTGGCCCACTGATGTCCTGGAGTGGGTGAAATTTCCAACTGAAGGCGCAGACAGGTGCGGGTGGACAAGAAGAAAAGGAATCCTCTGGTGCAGCCCTAACCAATGACGAAAAGTGAAAAGGGGGCGCCAGGTATATGAGATATAAAAAGAAATTCTTTCTTTAACTGGTCTCAGTTTTCGTTTTAATTTGAGAAGCCTCAGTATTAATCTTGAGAAAAATGTACATAAGGGGAAAAAGACAAAGCAGCACCCTGAAGCAGTGTTTGCTTCCATTCACTTCCACTACGAGCATTTCACTCTATCAAAGCTGCTATCAACAACAGAGTGAATATTTCCAAATACGGATCTGAAGAGCTGTGGCCTTTGCTGGGAGACGAGCACAGTCCCCGCTGTCATTTCAAGGTATGCTGTGGAAGGACTGGCTTATTCTCATCACACCCCATCCAACTACACACAGAAGCAACTTGCTATCAATTTCCAAGTGTGTCCAAGTGTCCTCCTTGGCACTTAACTCCCCCATCCTTCCTGTGAAGCAGCAGCTTTCCTAATAACCCTGAGCCCCCATCCACGTGAGCAGCATGGGTAACATGAGAAGAGTACCCTGGGACCTGTCGGGGTCCTCTGGAGTTTCTAGTCTCAGAGAATGGGGCTGGACGTCTGCATTCTATGCCTCAGCTCCTTCACTGAGGTGCCAGAGCTGTTCATCGAGGCTCCATACAACGTGCTTGCCTCTTACACAACCTGGTCTCATGACTCAGGTCCTAAAACATGCTTAACTGAGTCTCCTCTACTCCCCACCCCCGTCTTCATACCCCTCCTCCCTGTGTGAGCTAAAATAACACCACCATCATGTTCCAGATCAAAGTTCCAGCTCTTTATTAAAAAAAAAAAAAAAAAAAAAAAAAGCTCAGAAGTTAAAATGACCTAATTTGTTTGGCAGCTTATTCAGAGGCCGGAGGCTTACAACAAGTCACATTCCTCTAACATCTTTAGCAGCAATACCATATTTGGTAATCAATATCCTGCTCAGCTCAGTTTCTGTCCAGAGGGACCAGCCAAGCCAAAAACATTTTAAATGTTAAAGGATGAAGAGGAGGAGGCAGAGTGGGGCAGGGGTAGGGAGAACATGGAAGCGAAGAGGAAGAATGAGGGGAGAAAGAGGAAAAAGAGGGAGACAGATAGGAAGGAGACGTGAAAACAAAACAAAACAAACAAATCCCCTTGTGCTTTTAATTAAAGCCCAATAAGATTATTCTCTGGCCACAGTGACTTCTCATTAAATGCTGTCAGGAAAAGATTACTACTAAATCAAAGGGGGAATCTGTGCCTTTCAAAATCAACTTTTTCCTCTCTTGCCTATAATTCACCAAAACCCTTCTGGTAAGTGAACAGAAACATTTCTCTTGCAATTGTAAATGGTGTCTTATTTCCTTGGTGTCCAAAAAGGACAGTTTCTAGGTATCAGTATGATATCAGTTTGAGAAGTTACTTAGAAGCAACCCAATCTGACTGGCTATAGAAACAGCCAATAGTCTCTGCAAGATGGCCTAGAACACTGTGACCAAAGCAACACAGGTTCACTGTGATCTACAAAGGCTAAACTCCCTACCCAGGGCAAACTCTGGGAGATAGAAAGTATCCTTAGTAGCCTACTATACCTAAGAGTATATCAGGGCAGCAGCAAATCCACATGCTTATGTGTCACGGACTGAATGTTGGTGTCCTCCCCAAATCCATGTTGAAGCCCTAACTCTCAATGTGATGGCATTCGGAGGTAGGGCCCCTACGAAGGGATTAGCGCCCTTGGGAGAAGAGGAAGGGACTCTAGAGACCTCTCTCTCCAGGAGTACACACCAAGGAAAGGCCACGTGAGAACACAGTGAGAAGGTGGAATCAGCACAAACCAGAAAGAGGGTCCTCACCGGATACTGAATCTGCTGGCAACTTGATCTTGGACTTTCTAGCCTCCAGAACTGAGAGAATTAATGTTGTTGATGCCACCCTATCTGTGGTATTTTGTTATGGCAGCCAGAGCTGAGATACCTTAATGACACGGTTTCCTTTCCTGCACCGTAGTTCCTAAAATACCTCACAGTACTCTTTCTGAACTTTCTACAGTCTCGTCCAGGTAACTCTCCTCTTCTCCACCAGCCTCATCCCCAGCCCCACCTGTTCCCTCACTGCAAGTGACTCAGCCTATAGGAACACTTTTATTCAACCACCTTGGTTGATACATGTGATTACTGGAAGTCCTAACAGTTCAATCTCAAAAGCTACAGAGAGCAATCAGAGGCTTGAAGGACAATTCAAACCCTGCATTTGCATACTGTAATGCTCTAAACTCAAACAGAGTATATTATTGCATTTAGGACTCTGTTGAGGGAAGTTTTTAAAATCCTCTTTTTTCCTCCTCCTCTGTCTCCTAAAATTAAAGCTTAAGAACTCTCTGTAAACAGAAAATCTTGAAAAAGAGAATTTTCTGAATTGTAGACCTAGACCCCTCAATGCAAATTTGTGCTTCCTATTTAAATTGAATTAAGATCCTCAGCAAGTTACAGAGCTTTAAAATGCCATTTTAGTGCTCTACAAACTACGTCAAAGGCCGGAGTCCTAGAAGGATAAGGCAAGAGCTAGTATATAATAAAACACAAGGAAATGGGCAAGGTAAAAGGAAATCACCAAATCCTGAAGACCCAAGCCTACAGGAATGTAGAGAGTCACTGTAAATGACCTGCAGCTCTTTCAGTGACTTTCTGGAAGACAAAATGGAGAAGCTATTAATTAAATGTGCTGCAAAGCTCAGATCCCAAGTAGCTCTCCTGTTTCTCTAGCTGTGGTGATACTGGCTTCTTATGCACATAGGCTGTGCTGGAAAGGATTTATTGGCTGCAAATCGTGGATTTGGAGTCATATAATTATGCTGAACATAAAGGTTCAAGACCATTCCAAGTCCTTAGTAGTGTCCCTGGTATTAATGTCATGCCACAAGAGTGGAAATATTAGTCAGGAGTTTCTTCATTGAATAATGGGGGAAAAAAAGAGAGAGAAGGGCTATTCTAGAATGATTAAAATACCCTTAGGGCTTCCCTGGTGGCACAGTGGTTGAAAGTCCGCCTGCCGATGCAGGGGACGCGGGTTCGTGCCCCGGTCCGGGAAGATCCGACGTGCCGCGGAGCGGCTGGGCCTGTGAGCGGCTGGGCCCGTGAGCCATGGCCGCTGAGCCTGCGCATCCGGAGCCTGTGCTCCGCAACGGGAGAGGCCACAGCAGTGAGAGGCCTGCGTACCGCCAAAAAAAAAAAAAAAAACCCTTAGAGGCCTACCCTCATATGCAATGTGTGGTCCTTGATTGAACAACCAGATATAAAAGACCTCTCGTGGGAAAATGAAGAAAGCTGAACACAGAATGGGCATTATGTGATATCTGGGAATTGCCCATTTTATTAGGTGTGATAAAATGGTAATGTAGGAAAATGTCTTTAGTTTTTGTACTGAAATACAAAGAAGATATAATGACAAAATGTCATAATATCAGGTATTTACTTTAGAATACTTAGAAAAAAATGGAAGCAAATGCAGCAAAATGTTAAGTTGGTAAATTCTGATGGATTAATGGATGCTCATTACTATGCTCTCTACCTTTTGGTATGCTTGAAATTTCATAATAAAAAGTAAAAACAGAACAGATTCAACCAA